TTAAGCTTTAAACCAGAAGTGGAGGAATGATGTCATTCAAGCTCAATTAAGGAGAAAGAATGATGTCATCTCTCTAATTACAGTGTATAGAGAGATGATTAAGATTTCAAACTGTATGTATATAAAATATGAATATTAATACAGAGGTGAATAAGGACCCAGGAAAGCCCCTGTGGAACACAGTAACCAAAATGTATGAATGGATAAAAATGTCTACAACCACTTTGACTGAACATAAGATGTGATTTCTGGATAGTTGCCACATCAGGACATGTACATACTAAAGGTGCATCATATACATGTTTTCTTTAGTGGCTAACCTCAACCAGTGAGTTTTAATAGCTGAAAAACTAAAAAAAAAATGTATGAATTTTTTTTCAGATTTTTTTTTTTTAGTTTTTTGCTTCTCAAGGCTCACTGGTGAAGATTTACCACTAAAAATTTTATGGGCAGGATTCACCTTCAGTATGTACATGTCCTGATGTGGCAACTATCCAGATATCACATCTGATGTTCAGTCAAAGTGGTTGTATACATTTTGACATTTTGGTTACTGTGTTCCACAGGGGCTTTCCTGGGTCCTGGTGAATACTTAAGTAATTCCGTGGAATTACTTAAAGCATAAAAGTATAAAAATAAAATAATAAAAATATAAGATTACATAATTGGGATTTGAACCCAAGGGTGTTGGTGAGGCAAAGTCATAACACAGTCCTTAACCAATACACTACAGTACATGTGTTTGTTGGTTAAGTACAGGTTGTACACACATGGGCTACAGCCTCAGTGTCTGACACATATATTCTTGGTTTTGTTTTTCTGTCTATCACTAGAGCATGACAAGCATAGATCTATATTTATATTTATTTGACTCTAAGCATTGGGGAAGTAATGTGAGGAGGTGATGGCTGGACAGGGAATTCAAAGACAGGCAGTGATATTTATGATAAACAAGATTCCAAAATCATGCTGGAAATATATGCTACTCACTGTAGTGAACCCTGGTATCTACAACAGCCAACTGAGGAATGCAAAGCAAAAGCTATTAACATTCTCATCAATTGGTGGGAACTCTCCACTTCCCTATGATCCTGTTATAACAAACTGTGGGTAAAGAATTGAATGCAATTCTTTTTTTGCAACCTTCACCAGCCCAAAAATACAAAGCCAATGTGTTTGTGTTCTGGTGCTTGTTGGAGACACTTTGGCATGCCCAAAACCTAACATAAATTTTGCATCAGTTGGGGACTTGGGTTTGGGTTTGGGCAATCAGAGCTAAACGAAAAACCATCCAACTGGACCCAACCTTAACAAAGCCTCTTATTTTGAGAGTGTAGGAAAGTCTGGGTGACAGCACAGTCTCACCAGAGAGGCTTAAGCATATAAACACAAATTCGGCCCAATCAAGACATGATTTTGAGGCCTGTTTTTGTACCTTCACCTCTGGATTCCATGCTGTTATTGGGAGGGCACGTTCAGCCCAGCCAGTCATACCAGTTAGGCTCCCATCAAGGGAAGTTTGAACACAACCCAGCCTGCTTGTAAACTGTGGGTATTGAGCCTGAGACTTTTATTGCTCAAAAGAAGAATATAAATCAGAACATGATGAGCAAGAGGTAAATAAGGAATAGAATTTTTTTTTTCTTCACCAGAGTATCAAAAAAAGATATAGCTTCCAACAACTAAGATAAAGGGAGCACAGCAGGAGTAACACAGCCTAAGAAAGTTGAGAGGCAAAAAAGAAAGGAAAGAAAAACATAAGCTGACTGAGGCGGGATGATTACTGGTTGAGGCCGGTGATTTCTGATCAATTGGAAATATGACCAATGTGTTAATAACTTCAAAATTTGACTCAGGGTTGATTAATGATTTAGTGAGTCAAGGTAATGAGATTTGTGGTAGTTGAGGAAAGAAGAAAACAGGAGGGGAGGATTGAAAAGGGTTTGATGAGAGGGAGGCAAATGAGAGAGGGTTGTGGAGATTGAGTGAGTGAGTGGGGAAGGAAGTGAAGGGAGTGAGTGAACAGGAAGTATGTAGTGAGTGGAGTGGATGTTCTTGATGGGGAAGGGGGAGAGAATGATGGAATCAAGGATAGAGGAGAGGAGGTCACTATCAAAAGTCAACAGAGTTAGCCAAGAGTTTTTGAGTTTTCAGATAGGGTTTGCTATGTGTGTATCTCAGCAGGAACCCAGCAAGCCCCCCAATAGTGAGGTGTTGAAAAAGTCTGGATTTTGGCGAAATTCATATCTGTTTTCTGGGACATTCATACCACTTCCTAGAGTATGCTCAGGCCACAATCCCCCCAAAAGAGGGAGTTCCCCAAATTAATTCTGATTTTGGGGGTCAAATTCCAGATTTTGCTGGTGTTGACCAATTACACATACCTAAAATGTGCAATTTCAAGAGCACCTTTTCGGCCCAAAATGATAATTCATACTTTTTTCGAGCTTTTTCAAGAGTATGTTTTTGGGATTTATGCCATTTTAGCATACCTTTTCCAACACCCCCCTATTGGAGGGGCTTGCCGGGGTCCTCTCTCATCTGAGTTAGGTTTGAAAAATGACATCATCCCACCAGAAGGGTTGTGCATGCCGTGCAGCTTAAAATTTTTGTCTAATATTTTCAAGACACCAGGAAGTTTGAGCCAGAAGGTTTTAACCACTGGTTGCCATTGTGAATGTGTTGGCAATCACCAAACTACCCAGCCCGGCTACACTTATCATCAACTCTGTAGTCCCATTGAAGACCATTTGACCGGTCATTGATGTGAGTACACACTCTCATTGATGACCAGTCAAAAACCTGTCGTCAATTCCGGGTCCGGTACATATGATAATGTAGCTCTCTTTTGACCCGAACCCGACCCGGTTGCATCGGGAGTTGTTTCAAGTTCGGGTTAATCCCGGTCCCCCGCTGGCCTGTGCGCCGGGAGTCCGGGACTTGGGCAGTTTTTTTACCAAAGCGGTAAATATGTAGTAGATGGCGCGTGCCATATGAATTCTCCCGGCGCGTCGCGTGTTTCCTTTTCCAGCATATGGGATATGTCAACTTCGCTGATCTCCCCGGCGAACAACCACCCTAATCTCAACATCTCCGAAACAGCCACGATCCGATACTCCCGAAATTGAAAGAGCCTTCAAACTACCTTGGATTACGATGACGGCGCTGACTGAGTAGTAGGTGGCTTTTGACATTCATTGCAGATGTGCTGCTCATTGTGCTCAAACTAACAAGTTGATTGATAGTGAGCGAAAGCGACTCGAAAACATCAAGAAGAACCAATCCTTACTCTCCTCCTTAGCGATCAAGTCTGTTGGCCCGGCGGCCAAGAAGGGCTCCAAGAGACCGGCACCGTCGAGCAGCACGCCCTCGAAGAAACGTGGCCGGCCAGCCACGGGCACCGATTCCCCCCTTCCGCCCAAGCGTCATGCCACCCGAGCGTCCGTCCGGCTCAGTGGAGTCGGCCTCGATCCCGTTGAGCTCCAATCCCGCCTGGAAAAAGAGGAGCAGGAGCTCGCGTCAGAGCGGCAGAAGAGAGAGGAACTCAAGCACTCCGATCGTCCATTGGTAGCAGAGAGCTTACGAACCGGCCCGAGCTCGTCACTTACATCCAACCTCTTCAGCTCTCTCGCCCATACCATCGCCGTTAAGCCTATCAAGACGATGAAAGAAGAAGAGGTCAATCTCGAGTACTCTCCTGGGGACGATGAGGATTACGACCGATTGGCCGGCGAGCTTAAAGGACTGCAGCTGCGATCACTCAACAAAGTCTGTCCTAATCGAATCTATTCGATGAATTTCCATCCCGATCCAAGTAAATCTCTACTGTTCATGGGTGAGAAACTGGGAGGAGTGGGGATCTGGGACGCGTTGGGAGAGCAGCCAGCCGTCAAGTCGGAGGATGTCGAGGATGAGGACCACGTTTCAACCACGTCGACGAACACGGCCGATGTGTCGAGCAAGCCATCCGTCTCACCGGCCAAGCCGGTCAAGCAAGAGGAAGAGGACGACGACGAGGAAGATCGCCCGGAGTTTGTGGAGGGTGTCTCTTATTTCATCCAAGCTCATGCACGGTACTCGGCAGTGTCGGCCATCCAAGCCCATCCAAGTAATCCCCACCTGGTCTGCACCTCCTCATACGACAGGACGATCCGGGAGCTCAACTTCGAGAGCCAACAGAGCACAGAGGTTATTGACGGTCAGGCGCTCAACCCTGACGAGGATACCCTCTTCTCTGCCTTCGAATTCGCGAACCAAGGCCGGGAAATCTGGGCCTCCGATAACGCTGGCGGACTCGTCCATCGCGACCTACGTCAGCCCAAGACGACCGCCCGTCGATGGACAGTCTCGAAGAAGAAGGTCGGCTGTCTGAGCCTGTGTCCAAACTCCGCCGACCGACTGGCCGTCACTGCCGGCCTGAACCGAGAGATGCGTCTGTGGGATCTGAGAGCCCTGTCCGGTCTCTCGCCGAGCAGCGGGCTCGCTGAGGTCGAGAAGGACAGCTGTCTGGCCACTTACGCTCATGGGCTCGCCTGCTCATCGGCATACTTCAACCCAGCGGGGGACAAGATCTTGAGCACGAGCTACGACGATCTGGTCCGAATCTGGGACTTCGAGCCGTCTGCCAGGGACTCCTGGCTAGACAGCCATCCGTCCGACCTCGACCTTCCACCCTCCTTTCAGGCAAGACATGACAACCAAACCGGCCGATGGGTCTCTGTATGTCCCCCTCTCTTTTACTCATCTCTGTAGCTCCTCATAGCTTCTCATCCCCACATGCTTCTTTGTCCAATACTTTAAAAGGTCATGAAGGCTCGATGGTGCCCCAATCCGCGCTTCCCTTGCCACTTTACTGTGGGCAACATGGCCCGTAAGAAAGCACTTCTCTGACTAACCTGTACTCGAAAAATTGATGTATACTGACCAAACTTCCTCCCTTGTGTCCAACTCTCAGAGAAACTGGACATCTACAACCCCAAAGGCGAGCTCCTCACTCAGCTCTCACACCACGCCTTGACCACCGTCCCCGCCGTCACAGCCCAGCATCCGTCAAGCTCTAACCTGCAGGTTGCTGGCGCTACGGCGGGCGGGAAGGTCTATCTTTGGACTTGATCCTTCTCTTCCCCCCCGTTCAACTCTTTTGTTTAAATGCAGATGTGTGTTGTAGAAACTTTTGCTTTGGGTTTGTTTTGTATCATCTAAATTAGAGTCTTATTCATATCATCATTATATAGCATCTATTTATTCCGATTTGAGCTTTGTACCCCAAGCCATTTCCATCATTATTTAAAAGCCGAATTGTTTATGTTTGCTTTTACATGTGTAGGGATCTTTTTTATTGGTTTATCTTCTTGGAAAATCATCACCGGAGTTTCAGATCATCATGCTTGGTCCATCGGGCTTGCAACTCTTCTGCTTACAATGAGCAGCATGAACAGCCTGGTTGGTGGTGTTGTGAAACTTTTGATGTTTGAACGATGTTGCACTGTTTTTTTGGGGTGTGTCGGTGTGTCTTGTTTTGGGTTGGACTCAGTGAAAAGATCCCGAATTGGTAATGTCTGAGCATCCCCCGTTTCCGGTCCTCCGGTCAGACGAGTACACAGCCACACCTGATGACTGTGTAAAAGTTTCGGGGTCCGGGGTCAGATGACGTCATAGGATTACATAGGAGTTTTTGAGCCAAGTTTCAACTCCAGTACGCTTATTGGTCAGCCAGATCCATCCATTCTCACATGCACAGCCTGACTGTTTAAAAACTCCATCTACTCTTCATCCTCGCTCGGCCCGTCCCCCTCTTTCTCCCTGTTGACCAGAACCTACCATCCCTCTGGAAGAAGAGACTACCAAGCCAAACCAGTCATAACAAAAGAAAAAGAAGAAAGGAACATCAAGAACACAAGAGCCATGGGATCACAAGCAAACTCATTCTCGACCGTGTTCGATACCATCCCAAGTGGTAAACAGCTAAAATCGCTGACCAGAGAAGAGGTCGCCAAGCATGACAAGGAGGGCGACTTGTGGTGCATCATCGACACCGCCGTTTACGATCTCTCCAAGTTTGTCGACTTGCATCCCGGTGGTGCTTCCGTCCTGGTCGATAAGAACGTCGCCGGTAAGGATGCCACTAAAGCATTCTTTGGCTTGCATCGTTCCGACGTCTTGAAAAAATATGGCCGGTCAGTATTTTTTTTTATTCCTCAGTCAATCCTGCCAAGTTCAAGACGGATTCTGATTTGGATATCATCTGGAGCAGCTACGTGATCGGACGGATCGAGGGTGAAAAGTCCGCAGTGATACTTCCCAAGGATGGAGAACTCTCGCTCGTCCCACATGCCGAACCGTCGTGGCTCTCGAAAGGATATTCGTCCCCGTACTACACCGATGGCCACCGCGAGTTCCAGAAGGCAATGCGTCTGATCTTCGACAAACATATCACCCCCGAAGCTAGAGAGCACGAGCTGAATGGAAAACGAGTCAGCCAAGAATTAGTCGACCTCATGGCCAAAGAGCATATCAATGCTATGCGACTTGGACCTGGGAAGCATCTCCATGGTCTTACTCTACCAGCTGGTGTGAAAGGCGAAGATTATGACTACTTTGTGAGCTATTTTTTTCATATTCAGTGATACTGAGAAATTGCTTTTTTGAGGCGCGCATGTTGACGACTGACTTGTCGTTGAACCTGATCAGCATGAGCTGATTATCACGCAAGAATTAGGCAGATGTGGTGCTCGAGGATTCTCAGATGGGTTGTTAGGTGGGATGGTGATCGGCTTACCACCGGTATTAAATTTTGGCTCGCCAGAGCTAAAGAAAAAGATCATTCCGGAGGTCTTATCGGGGAAGAAGTACATTGCCTTGGCGATCAGCGAAGCTTTTGCGGGCTCAGATGTGGCTGGTCTGCGTTGTACGGCAACCAAGTCGGCGGATGGTCAACATTACATCGTCAACGGGACCAAGAAATGGATCACAAATGGCACCTTTGCCGATTACTTCTCCACCGGTGTTCGAACCGACAAAGGCCTCAGCGTCTTGTTGATTGAGAGGGGCGAGGGAGTCGAGACTAAGCCAATCAAAACCAGTTACTCTCCCGCTGCTGGAACTGCTTACATCACCTTCGACAACGTCAAGGTTCCAGTGGCTAACCTTCTGGGCAAGGAGAACAAGGGACTTCAAGTCATCTTATCTAACTTCAACGTTAGTCGTCCCAGTTTTCGAATGTATCTGAAGTCTTCCTAATCTGATTACTTGACCTGTCTGTAGCACGAGCGCTGGATCATGTGCTGTGGTGTGATCCGTGCCTCCCGATTTATCACCGAAGAGTGCTTCAAAGTAATTGCTTTAATTCATATCTAAATTTCTCCTCGATACTTATCCTAGCTCCCTGCTCTTGCTTGTGTTTGTTCTTTTTTTTTCAGTGGACTCATCAACGTGTTGTCTTTGGCAAACCGCTAATCGCTCAACCTGTCATCAGGTAAGTTTCACATCCACTACTCCAACATGGGTAGAATCAATCCAGAAAATCTGATCACCTTTTTTTCCCTCTTTTTGCGTCTCTCTTCACCTGTAACTATGAAGAAATAAAATCGCACAGATGTTTGCGAAATGCGAGGCCACGCAATCGTGGCTAGAGAATGTGACGTTCCAAATGAACCGAGTAAGTCTTAACTAATTTTATCATGGTTTTTCTTCTTGCCGAATTCAAAAGGTTCTGATTGCTTTCGTGTTTCTGTTATGAAGATGTCGTATGCTCAACAGGCCGACTTATTGGCGGGACAGATCGGACTTTTGAAAGCGTATTCGACGCGTGTTGCCCATGAGGTTGCTGACGAAGCAGTCCAGTAAGCTTCCGTCCTACTCATCATCCTTCTGTTGACTTCTTCCCCCAAAACTTCAATTTATGATGTAATGCTTTTTTTGTTGATTGTAATAGGATCTTTGGTGGTCGTGGAATTACTCGCTACTGGAATGGGTCGCTTTGTGGAGATGTTTCAACGCAGTTATAAGTTCGATGCCGTCCTTGGAGGATCTGAAGGTTCGTTCTTACCAATAATACCATGTCCACTTTCTGTTCCCCCCTTCTCAATACATTCCATAATCCCTTGGGTGTCTAACTTTTTTTAATCTGTTTTTTGTATCACAGAGGTCTTGTTTGATCTTGGTGTTCGTCAAGTAAGCACATTTAACCCTTTCCATTTCTTATCAACCATTCAAAGTTTCTATTAACCTTTAACTCACCCCTATTCCTTAACATCTTCGCGCCTATCTTAATAGGCCATGCGCAAGATGCCCTCGGCGGTACTTTAGAACATCCAGCACACCCGTTTCTCGTTCATTGGCTATCTGCTCACGTCAAGAAATCACACCTCTCCTGTTCATGCGTGGATGATGATGATGATAAGGATTGGAATTATCTTCCATTGTTTTATATATGTAGGTGTGTGGATCAAAGAAGAAGAAAAAAGGCACAGCATCATTTCATCTTTGTAGATACATCCATTAAATAATGTACATTGGTGTGGATTTGTCGTTCATGGATACATATAACTGTTCATAGTCTATTATTAGCAAGCACAAATCATCATCTATTTCAATCTCTCTCTCCCATTCTCGTATAGTATCATCATTAGTTTTACATCAAAATCGTGCTTTTCTTTTTTTTGTATTACTACTATCATCTTTCTTCATATACTCATCTCATCATCCTGCACACACTGTTTTGTGGATCAGTGTCTAGCATTTGTATCGTTTCCTTCACTTGTTTCTTCATATTTATGCAGTCACTTAGCGGGGGATGCTTATCATACTGGTTGACTTATACTTCTTCACTTCATTGATGATTTGTTATACTGATCCTCTTACGTAATTCAATGGATGTCTGAAAAGCTGTGGCATTGAGACTTGGGTGTGTGGAAGCTCATCTCGTCGTCTTTGTGGGTCTTGGTTGTGGTCCTCTCCTGTTTGTTCCACGTGGGGCGGAGCTTGGACTGTGGAGATCATCAGCAGAACTCTTGCTTGCTAGTCATCTTAATCCAAATATGTCTTCTCGTAGGCTGGCATGATCAACCTGACCTTCGATTCTTTCATCCTTCTCATGTCGGTGAAGGTATGATCAATTCGTGGAAACAACTGTTGCTTCCACAGTGTCTTGGAAGAAAGGCACGGCCACCCCGGAAACTTGCATCAGTTCAGGCTCTCACTATCTAGTTTATGGAAGGCGGCTCATTCGAGACGTCCGCTTGTTGCCGGCTTGTGTTGTCCGGATGCCTCGGCTGGGTGGGGCCAACGGGTGGTGGTTTTGTTCAGATTTTATGTATCCAAGTGGACTCGAGGACAAGAAAGACGTTCAGGGATCTTGATGATTAGAGATGAAGACCAGTCCTTCCACTGTTAGATGCGCTCCTTGACTTCTCGCAATTGGAAGAGAGAAAGAGGAGGTCATGGACGACGAAAACAGACGGGGATATGGAAGTCGAGTCAAGGGATTTTTATAGGCTTGTGTGTGTGTGTATTTGAAAATATACCAACTGTTGCTCAAACATGGTCGAATCACCAAGGTGCTAGAACACCAGGTGCAGCATCCCACGCGAAGCGCCCATGTCTGCTTCTGGTGGGTGGTCATGCTTCATCCAACCCAACGCTGTCGGCTTCGAGCATGCTTCTTTAAGCATTTGGGGATATCACACTTGGGCCTTATATGTTGATCATCCCTCACCTCGACCTTCATATCCTCGTCTGTGGTCATTCTCATATGAACTCCTCTCTTATGTTTCGTTTGAGGGTGTCGACTTGCGAGATGGGTCTTTTAGATCTGGCGCTCGATAGTTCATACATGGCATCTTCCATTCACGTCAGTCGTTTTGGGCCCATCTGTGTCTCAACAAGATCAAGGACCTCCATTAATGCTCGTTTTTGATCAGGTTTATCAAGAAAAAAAAAAAAACCACGGTTGGGGCAAAGAGTGGGGTATGTCCGTAACTTTCTGTTCAACTATTTACATTCACATACTGGAGGTGGCACTTACAATGGCACTTGGCCATGCGTTGATCTGGATTCTTTGGGCCCAGAAAACATCATCATCATCAAGGACTTGCAAAACGTATTCCGTGAAGGGGAAGATTTATCCTAGGGATTTCTCAGCCGCGGGATGGGTGGGGAAAAAAAAAAGACAATGATGGGTGGTGCATAATCTGTGATGTAAGACTATGTATAGGTTGGTATTGACTTCATCCACGTCAACGGACAATCTTTTTCTTGATTGACTGTGGTCTGCATTTTGCAATGTGGAGTTGGACTGACTATGTATAAGGAGTAAGATATAAGCGGACGATTGGCCATCGCCAAAAGGTACAATTAGAGGCCAAGGTTGAGAAGAATCTTCCAGGCTCCGAGTCCATCGAGTGTTTGGCAAAAAGAACTCCTGGGCTTTTTTTTTTTTTTGCAAAAGCCTGTGGATTCAATTGACCCTCAACATTACCAACCAACCAGTTCAAGCGAGGACATTATCCCCGTCACCTAAGAATAAAGCACAAAAGAACCATTTCAACTTGGCTGTTTATCGATAGAAAGTTAACCGAGTGACTGTTGAGAAGAAGATATCGTACTCCTGGACTTTGCAGCCATGGCTAATTACCCCTAACCATCATCTTATCTAAACCAGCAACGAAAAGAAAGAAAGAAAGGGATGAGAGGAGGAAGGCATGTCTGATTTCAAATTCCTTTTGACTTCACCCATGAAGAGAAGCAGAACAAGCCACCGGTCTTGTGCGCGGATATGTATCATTTTTATGTGTCCACTCGTCGGCGTCTAGTAAAGATTCAGTCTTGCACTCTCTTATGGAAAAGGAACAGGCAAGACAAAGTGTATGGGAAATTGGGCTCCGGGATCCTGACGTATGGATGATTTCCATCTTCCAAAATTATAAATAGGTCGCACGGAAATAAAAAGCTGCTTCCACATTCTTTCATCGGCCAAGCAATCGGAAAGATACAAAGATGAATGCGCGATTCGGGATGTTTTATTATGAGAGGATATCATTCAACGCTTCTTATAGTCATGTAGGGCTAAACTACTTGAGAGGTCCATGCCCGTGTGAGTTTCTTTTTTTCATTTGCCTTAGCAGGTCGGATAGCCAGACAAAGCTGCTCTTGTAGTCTGGCGTCGGACAGGCAGCTGGCAAGATATGATTGAGTAGACGCAAGACGAACCATTTTTTTTTTCTTTTTGTATTTTAGTGTCCTGAGATGGTTGCGGTAGTGTCGACTCAGCAGGGATTGGTAACGGTGTTTGGATCCTGCCACTTCGCATTTGATTCGAAGAGGTAACGATATTCAAAATCGACACCGTCATCAGTCAACAAACATCCATAACACTTAACCCGTCTGGACCCCTTCACTGGTGGGGTGGTGGCCTGGTCAACTCTTGTTTTCAGGCCGTGGAATTCCATCATGCTTGTTTAACATGTGTCGTTTCCGGTCGAATGGCAAAGTAAAGCTGCGGTCACAGCCTGGTACCGTACAGGGTACTGACAAAAAGGAGATGAAGAAGCAAACCGGATTGCAACATGATAGAATTCAAGTATATAGTGAGATTGTGTTGACCTTAAAATGGTTCCCCGAAGCCGGGATAAATAGCTCTCCGAAGTCCAGAGCAGAAAATTTCTTGCTTGGTTGTTGTTTTTAGATGGCACGCGTCTGGACAAGATCAATCTTTGCTCTGCCGGACGGATGGCTACAAGAAGAATGTGTTGGGAGGATGCTGGGAAAACATTTGAGAATAACCGGTTTAAATAAATGAGGATGACGCGACAGTTGGCCGTGTCCTGCTCCAGTCGCCTTTGAGGGGGATTACGATTCATCATACATTGAATCTGATCGACACACAGGAATAGGAGACCAGACGCTCTTCCTTCTCTTCAGCTGACTCGATGGTCATTTTCAAGCCCAGAATAACCCATTCGAAAGCTGATCAACCTCTCAATCCGGGTCGAATATCCCGACGCTAACCACAAATCAAGTGGTGGCTTGTCATCAGGCTACAGGGTCCAATTTCAAAGGAGCTCAGAAAAGAAAGGAAGATGCAACTTGTTTTCCATCAAAGAAAGCCTTTTTTATGAAGCGTCAACATTACATATGAATTGCGACCCACCAAAAGCCCACAGATCGGATGCAAAAGCCTAATGGGAAATTGACCATGGATTTTACCGGATCCAGTCTAATGGCGAATCGATGTTCTTGGAATTCCGTCTCGAGGCTTTCCTTCCGACGGCCTAAAAGTTACATAACATTCTTTTTTTGACGGGAAAAAGTCTGGCCAAGTCGACCAGTCAGCTATCGAAACTGGTGGCGTTGAAGTACTCGTGGCTTCTAACTCCTCAATTGCTTCTTGCAATGGTTGTCCATTGGCAAGGAATGGCGTAGATTAATTACCGAGAGGTGAGTTGGCGAACTTGAGCTGCTGTGTCCGCGTTGGCGTGCCGATGAATGCCTGTGGGCTTTCGGATGAACATCACGGGTGATATGTGTAGTCTAATCAACCCGTCTTGAAGGAATGGCGGCCCGGGCCAGGGTTGCCGAGAGCTTCGGAGAAATCTCGCGTCCTCTTCAGAATCAAATCAGAAGAAGTTTTTGCTTTGCAAATGTCTCCCTTGTTTTGTTGCATGTATCTTGGACTATCGGTAGTCTGGTCAGCAAGCTTGGAAGGCTGAGAGGTGCACTTGGAGGCAGGACATCTAATCGAAAGGCAGTGGGATGGATAGATAACAACCACTGCCCGTGGCTTGATTACAAGAGTTGAATTGCTCGGCGTCGGTTCTCGAGAGAGAGCACAGGTTGGGAGGGTGAAGCTTGATCTGAGAGGCAGGCACAAAATTTTCAACTCAAAAGGCAATCACGATTGGCAAGTCCCTAACCCGTCTACCTCTCACGGAATCACACATATAAATACTTCTCTTGCTTTACCGCCGGCCTGTTAAGTAAAACGAAGCTACATCGCTATCAATCAACATCTTCTTCCTGTACCTTTTTTGCTTCCTTCCTCTCCAATTATCAAGTCGATTGGAGTTCATTTCACAGCTCCGCCAATAACATATAGGAGCTTACTTTCTTTGCGTGGCTTCAGCTGGTAATTGGCCCTGCTCCCTGTCCTGTCAAGCAATTAGCACTCAGATTGACCTACAGATGCCATGTTTTGTTTTTATCCAGGACCTACAAAGCCGACAAGATGAAGATTGAATTTTTCTACGTTTTACTAACTGTGGTGGCCTTTCTTGCCCTTGGTAAGGCCATGAAGGATTTCTCTTCTCGTGCCTTCCCTATCTATCGCCGATCCTTCAAAAGTCATTGTTCAGAACAAATCTGTTGATGATGTGCCTTATCTGCCTTTGTTCAGTCGACGAATCGGAAGCTGCGCCAGCACCACTGTCCTTTAAGAAAGGGTGGGGTTGGGTTAAACGCCGTGCCGACGACGTCAAAGATGACCTTGGATGGCATTAGAAATAACCACTTTTTCTCTTCTGCTTGAACGGCACGCTGCCTAGAAGGACATTTTTTTTTTCTTCCCCCTTAGCAAGGCGTTATGATATCATCAACATTTGACTTCAATGTTTGTTTAGAACAATTCTACTCTTGCACCACACATATGTACTATTACAACATGCACAAATCATAGACGTGTTACTTTTTCTGCTCCTTTTTTCAAATTGAGAGGTATAACTTCTTGGGATCTGGTTTTGTGCCAGATTCAAACAAAGAGTGATGCTAGTTTTGGTCAGAGGGCTCGATTCCAGGATTAAAGTGATGTTCAATCAGAAAAGATGAAAAGAGGATGGATAACCCTGGTGCAAAAATCAGGATTAAATTAATAATAATAATTAGAGCAACACTGAGAAACAAAAACCCACATTAGGGGGGTTCACGATTGAGCTTGAAGGCTATTTTTAAGGTGTTTCTGATCATAAATTTATAATTTTTTTGTGATGTACAGAAGGTTCAAAAACCAATAAATCAGGAAAACTTGAAAAAATTATAAAATGTTGCTCATTAACACCTTAAAAATCACTCTCAAGTTTAATTTTGAACCCCCCTATTGGGACTACCCACCTCCCATAAGAATGATTTGACTTGTGTTCAGCTTATTACATTTGCCGGTGTGGAACTACTCTTTGGTGAAATAGAGCTTAGAGAGGGACGAGAGCTTAAAGGGCTGCCTCTCTGGTTACTGGGAGAGTAAGAAGAACAAGAAATAAGAGTATGGACTCTTAAAGAAAGGTGTGGCTAAATGAAGATGTAAGATTTGTAAAAGGGTAAGGTATGAGGATAATAATTCTGTGTGAAATGTCTTAATTCTGTAATGCTAAATATATTCCAAGTAAGTAATGCTAAATCAATGACAACTCTGATGCGTAAAGATGGCCCCATGGGACCCGGGTACCCATTGATACCCGGGTACCGACTGCTTTTTTTGGCCAAAACGGACACTGGGTACCGCACCCGCTCAAGTATGACGGGTACCGGCGGTACTCCTGGCGGGTACCGCCTGGCTACCGGAGTTTCTTCCAGGCAACCTGGTTGAGACCAATCAGGTCGCCAAGGAGGGCCCTTACCGGCAACCTGATTGGTCTTGATCAGGTTGCTGAGGAGGGGTCCTCTCCAGCAACCTGGACGAGACCAGTTAGTCTTGGTCAAGCCACCGAGGAGGGGGTTTGGGGGCGGGTACCCTTAAAGGTACCAGGGTACCGCCTGCTTTTTTGCCCAAAAGCAGGCACCGAGTACCGCACCCGGCACCACTTGGCGGGTACCGGAGGAGTGAAGGCGGTACCCGCCAACGGGTCCCGGGTACCGCCCAACGGGTACCGCAAGGCCATCTTTACTGATGCGGGACAAATGGCAAGGGCCAAGAGAGCACTGCATATTAGTCTTCTGGGGGGGGGGGAATAAGAAAACAAGGAGCAAGGCATCATCACAGGGTACATGTAACAAGGCAACAACATGGCTTGGGAGACAGGCTTGGGAATGGCATGTGTGACAAGGGTGAAACAAGGCTGAAGCAACAGGGATAGAAACATGACATATGTGGCTACTGTAGAAACAATGATGGTGAAGACCAGGGGTCTTTCCTAATAGTCTGGCTCTCTCTGCTGGCGGGTTTTCTCCCACTTTATACCTGATTTGTACTTATTTTATTACCAAATGTGGCTGGTGATCCATGTGGAGTGTTACTGATGGGTTGATTGAAGGTGGCCATGAGTGTATTACATATGTAGGATGTTGGTTTGATGGTTGTTATGATATGTAGATGATGTGAAATGGATCCATAAAGGTGCTTGTAAAGTGTAACCGGTTTTGATTGGTCTTACCACACCAGAAGGAGCTAAATAAACCGGATAAATGAAATATTTACCAAATTTCATAGATCCAATATGAGTGGATAACTTCCTGTCACCGTTTACAACCCTCCCAGAATTTAAAACCAAAGTCTTTCTTCAAAATGGTTGTGTTCCACATTGAAGTGGCAAGAGAAGTATTTCAATATCCCTGAGTCTTTGACTCCTCAGATAAACTTCTTAAATACTGGTCTGTCTGTCAATCACTTTAACAGATCCATAAAGGGTAAGGTTTATTTTTCCATTTTAACCAGTAATATCCTTCCCAATCAGCTACCTGCCTCTGATTCCGGGACATCAAACTGGTTTAATTCTTCACTGTGCTCTGCCTCTTTTTTTTATTTTTTTTTATTTTTGCCCGATGTTGAATTCTGATTACTGATACATCCTTCTTCAATGCAGCTCTTCCTCAAGAAAATTATCAAGATGTGTTCTACCTTATCCTCTGTACCATTATGCATCATACACCCCACAACAATCCCGGCTCAAGTCAGCCCTTTGCAGTGATTTGCAAAGAATTTACCAAGAATGATTTTCTTGAGAAAATGAACAGTATTTACAAAGCATTGATCAAAAAAGATCCAGACAGGGATATCCTGCCGGATATTCACAATTATTAAATTTTTGGCATGATACAATCAGCAATTTAACTTTTTCAAAACCCTTCATGAATTCCTGGTGAAAATACAGAGAGACTGGAATTCCAGTCATAGATTTTCTTGAAGAGGATTACCAAACCATCATGAAGACATTGATACCACAGAGGGATCCTTTGCTGCTATTTTTAAAACAACTCAAATTCATGTGTTCCTACCCCAATTTCTACTGGAATTCATTTGAAAACTTTGGTTCTATCATGAAACCACAAAATCATAATAATTATCTAAGAATCACCCAACACACATTCAAAACTGCAGCACAACAAGGACATTCAGGGAGTGATGCATTGCAGACCACACATGATTCTCTGGATGGGACAAGTGTGATGGAAATGTGGAAATCAAACTACTAATTTTAGCTTATTCTTTCATTGTTTCACAGAACTACAGTAGGTGAAAAACTTGGCCAGAGTAGATGCATTTCTTCCAATAAATATGTCCAATTGTGGATTTGGGTAGAAAATTGCATGTTTTTGGACCAAACCATTGGTTGTTTTTTTGCTCAATTATTGTTAATAGGAGGGAGCTTTTTTAAGTTGTGACTCCACCATGTAACACAAAATTGGCACATCCACCTGTGAACTAACATGCAAATTTCACACACCCCCATTGAGTAATTAGGAACAAAAACAATTTTCATGTTTGCATTCATGATTATAAAACACAATGTCAAAAGTCAAGTGATGAAGAAGAGCTGACACAGTAGGCCATGAGAGAGTGCGTCTTGTGTGATCAGAAAAATCCAGAACCAATATTGGTGATGTCATGAGCTGTCATACTCATGGCCCTGTAGCTCGTAAGGCCTGAAAATTTATATAGGTCAGGGGTTCAAGTGATCTGGTTAGCTTTTCATAGTTGTATCAACTCTGTGGATTTCTTCTGCTCAAATATCTGGATGTAATTTTTCCATATAGTCTGGCATCCAGGTATTTGAAATTTAGGCTGAGCAAAATTCACAAATTCATTAAATCCAGGGTGTTCCACCATGTTCAAGGGGTACTTGTGCCCAATGAGCATGTTGGCCATCTTGACTTGAGTATCAAATTGAGAAAATAGCCAGATGTGATTGCTTGATTGAGATTGAGTGCCAAAATTAAGGCAAAACTGTTTGTTTTGAACAAATCCACCAGTCTCAAACAAGACACTTTTTTGAATGAAGGCATAAATAGTTAGGTTCTGAAGCCAATGCATCAGCAATCTTGGACCTAAAATAGTTGCATACGGCCTTCACAGTTGTGACTATATGAAAACAAGTCAGCACAACCTCAGCAAGAGAAGATGATGAAAACAGCCTATCTTCTTCAATTCTCTGAAAGTGGTTCCAAACTTTACTTGTAAGTTTCCTTTTCTTCAAATTTCCTTCTTCCTTGAGGGATGAATTGCTGAGACTGAAGTTTCTGGTTGCAGTGGCCTGGGATTCACGCATAGAGCTTATAGTCTCTGTAAATTCAGATTACAAATCTACAGCCAAGTGAGTTACAGGTGCAGGTGAGATTTTAGGGGACATTTTGAGTTTTCAGATGTTTGAGATTTAAAAGGACAATGGATATTGTTAAAGAAGATCAGGCACCAATGTGTGGACAAATTTTATGGTAAGGAAATTTTCCCAAATGGGATATTGTCCTACACCCTTTATAAGAAGAGCTTTTAGTGCCTCTGCCCAAGGATTCAGATGGAAGTTGGACCTGAGTAAATAGATCATGTGAATCTTAAGAAAGGTTGGGAAATAAATCAACTTCAAGCATAAAAAACTGAGCTAGAAATGTCGATTACATTCAATACTGAAGTTTGTTGGGTAACAATCTTGAGATGCTGTAAGACCATCATTGTTGGTTTGCAAATTGAAGCTTTCAACTCCCTAGTGACTCCAAGTACGTTTTTATTGTTAAAACTTCCAAAATCAACTATCTGTGGGACCTGGACACCGGCAGGTATGTAGACAGTAGTTCTTTGAGTCCTATTGACAATTGCAGCGGCTCAAGCCTTTTCAGTTTTGAGGCCCCCGGTCCCCCGAATCCCGCTGGACACCCGCTGGGCGCCTGCGTGCTTTGTTGCCTGACCTGCCACCCGGGTCCAGCGGGCTGGCCCGAAAATTGAAAATCAGGCATCCGCACTGAGCGGCTTTGGGCTGCCCGCTGGTCAGTTGCTCTTAACCAAGGCCCTGAGGAACGGTACCTCAGCGCGCCCCCACTGCGCCGCCCAAAGGACGCCCTCTTGGTAGGCCCCCTCCGGCGCGCACCTGATAAGAAGCGGCGCCGACAACCCTGCACCCATCTCAGCAGCAGTCCATTCATCCATCCGGAACCATCTCAAACCATACCATCTTCTCTGACCACTGAATCCTCTACACCGACCTTCTTGATATCTTCTGTTTAGATCACTAGGAAAGACAGAACCGACACCACCATTATCATTGAGGAACTATATCCTCTGTTCAGACCTCTTATCATAACAGCAATGTCCCACCCGCAATGGGAATTGAGCATACCTCAAAGTTGTCTGATCGGTTAGTCCAGCAGTCATCATCCGACATCATGTCTTGGGTATGAGAGATAGTTGACTGATGGCTTAACGGTATTTTATTTTTCGAATAAAAAGCAACAGATCCGGTCAGCCATGCGCTGAGTTCTTTGTCTTATTACTGCCGCAATGCTCTACTATCCAAGACTTCTTCTGAAGTACAGCAACACTTTGGACGACTAGATGGGGCACTTGAAGTTTTCACTAGTGTCCATTCCTCCATTCTCCCTTCTCTCAAACACTATCTTAACCTCTTCCTCCTCTCACTCGACCTAGAAGGTGACAAACGCCCTCCAAATCCCGACATGAAATCGCTTGCAGAATCCATGTTAGAGCTGGAAAGAACGCTACATAATCTGAACGAATTCATGGGTACTCTCAGCTCATTTTATGAGAAATACTCTAACGTCTCTCTCTGGTCAACCGATTATATCGGTGACCATCACTTACAGGACTTGAAGTTCTTTAAATTTTCTCTAATCCACCCCGAAGTCCGTGATTTGGTCCAATCCGAGCTTGGAGGACTATTTGCTGATTGTCGGACGTTGATCGGAATATACAAGCAGTCAGATTACCTTGCCAAATCATTGTATAGACAAGCTGTACTCGCGTCAACGGCTGCTTGTAATCGATCGATCGATCATATAATCAAACTAGCGCGACAGTCCGACTTTGCTATTCTCCGAGACATATGGCAAGCGGACACAGACTTGATGGATGATTCCCTGCAAGCTCTGACGAGTGTAACTCGTCGAATGCCACATTCAGAACCTGAACGACCGCCTACTTCGGTCGATGATGCCGGTGATCGAATCCTGATCGATCTGAACCAAGAACGCATCCTTCGACTGGCTCGATCAGCCATCCCACTCGTCAAGCTAACCCGATTATTCTTGAATAAGCTGAGCAAAATGACGAAAGATGGATCAGCTTTCAAGTTGAATCCAGAGCTCGATTCAAGGACATTAGACTTCTTGAGTAAATGTCCTGGGTTGATTGCTACCCACGTCTATGAAGTCGCGATGTCCATATCAGCACTTCACGAGAATAATCAAAGGATCGATGGATCACTCATGAGTGCCTCTTCTCTTGATACCCTCTCCAATGAACTCAAGTTCATTTTACTCCTCCTACCTTCTCGTCTCATTCCGATCACTCCCCATTCCGATCATTCAACATCCCCGTCTCATTTTTCTCTTTGGTCTTGTGATCTGAAAGCTCTGTGGAGCAAGGCTGTCTCATCCTTCCTGGAGGCCTCATCCCAAGCCGAACTCGGAGAATTGTTTAGAAATTGGGAATAAGAGACATCATCAACTGCCTATACATAATTGGCAATATGGAGAAGCATGATGCAGATCGACGAGTCTGATCTACAATATACCCCTTGACCAGCTAGTACCCTATACACAAATGGACTTCTTTTTACCTTTTTTCTATTATGTAATCTTAATAATGTTGAACAAGCCAAGGTCACTGGTTGATCTTTTTTTTAATCAATACTTATCTTAAAAGAACCTTGCAACTATAATGTATCCTGTCTTTCCTTTTGAATCTTTTTCCTCAAGTTGCTGTTCTCAAAAAAAAAAACAGACACATATCAATGTTCATTCATTTTTTTTCCCCTGCTCAGTCATTTATCCCCAAACAAACATAGCAACAAATCAAAATGATTTCTTTTATCAATTGGAGTCTGAGTCATTGAAAAAGAAATGAAACAAAGCTTGATATGGTTGGCTATTGGAGGACTTCCCGTCGGATCTGGGAGCCTCGCAGTTTCCGATTTAGACCCAAAAAGTCTAGATTTTTGCAGGGAAATCTAGCTTTTTCGGCTCTAAATCGAAACTGGGAGCCCCGCAGATGTTGACGGGAAGTCATCCATTCTTTGATTGAGACTGGTACAGGACTAATGGGGAAAAAATCAGGCATGATGTATTCTTAAGAGCACAATGAGAGGATTAATTACATAGTGGTTTGATATTTGAGCAACCAACAGCCTTAGAGCATCTCTAACGGTCTGGGGGTGGATCGGCTCGCCTTTGGCGGCCTGGAGTCAGATGTCCCGAGGTGTCACCGGTCTGTCACAGTTGTCCTAAATGCGGACTGTGAAGTTGAGCGGGGGTGGGTGAAACGCGGCCAAAGCTGCCAAACTCAGCAGCCGAGGGCAGCTTTGGTCCACCCCCGCGATGTTCAGCAGCTCGCTCGGCAGCTCCGCTAGCAACCAAAAGAGCCTCGCGGCCCGCTGAAGTCGGTCCCAGGTCCCGCATCAGCAGGACCGTTGGAGATGCTCTTACATAAACTAAAAAGTGAGTACTCTGTGTGTTGGCCTAGAAGGCAATAGGGGGGTTCACAATTGAACTTTAAGGCCATTTTTAAGGTGTTTCTGATCATAAATTTATAATTTTTTTGGGATGTACAGAAGGTTCAGAAACCAATAAACCAGAAAAACTCAAAATTTTTATAAAATGTTGCTCATAAACACCTTAAAAATCACTCTAATGTTCAATCATGAACCCCCCTAATACAGCCAAGCCAAAAAAAAACAGATAGAGAAAGCATTGATCAAGCTGGCCTCTTTTTTGAATTTTCCATTAGCCCATTCATATAGCTGCTTGTTCACAAATAAAATTTCTGCAACAACCAATGATTAACATCATCTGGATAAAAATTTGGTGGAGTCCCACACAGAATTTAGGCTACAACTACAAATACATTTTTGAGATTTTTTCAAAGCATTTTGAAACCATCTTGAAATTTGTTTCTTTTTTTCTTTTTTTTTTTTTAGGAAATTGATAGATCAATCAGTTTTCAAAACTGACTTGATATCATTGTCCAATTATAAACTAAATTCATCTGTGAGTCCCAAAACACCAACCTGCCTCTCAAGCCTTTCAAGAACTGACAACAACTCAGTTGTTTTGGTTACTGCTGTAGCTATAGTAATGGGGGGGATGCTGTTTGGATCTGGGGCCTGGTTCATCGGGGATGGTTTCTTGCCTTAATGTTTGATGGCAGCTCTGTGAAGGGTGGGTGTTTTCATATAAATTTCATCAGAAGGCCTGTCAAGTCATCCTTTTACACAGACCTCTTGGCCATTGTAAAACCTGAGAAGTACCTGAAGTCTGAAAAAATTTGAACTCAAATCGGCCTTCCAAGCCAATTTGAGGACTTTTTTTTTGAGACAAATTGTAAGCAATATTTTTTTGATCAAATTCAAAACGTTTTCAAAAAGAAATCTCAAAAACGTGTTCATAATTGTATAAGCATTAAGCAACAAGCAGTGTGGCTTTTCACAACCCTTCCTTGATCTTATAATTCAAGTCAAAAGAGAAACATCCGAATAGTGGAGGACTTCCCGTCAACATCTGCGGGTCTCCCAGAGTTGGTTTAGAGCCTTGAAATTCAAATTTTTCTGTGAGAATTAAGATTTTTTGGGTCCAGATTGACTTCTGTGAGGGTCCCAGATCCGACAGGAAGTCCTCCAGTTTACTTTTTTTTCTTCTTGTACTTACTTTTCCTCAATCTGATAGACTTTTTCCTCCTCAAACCAATCAAATGTTTGTAGCAATAAGATATATGAATCAGTTTGATTCATCCAACCAGAAATAAAAACCAAGCTACCTTTCTGCTGTCTCCATCAAGCCTTGCCAAAATTACCACAGTGCTGTGAATTTAAACTGGCAACTATTTATCTATTTTTTGAAAATTAGTGCTGAATTTCAGAGATATGTAATGTAGCCTTGGCCATCCAAATCTAGTGTTTCCTCTTTCCTGTAAGACACATAACTTGACTTTCCTGAAATCAATTGTTTAGCACTCATGATTAGCTCAAATATTCCTTTGCACAACTCATCAAAATTGATTTTCAAATTTAGAAGGTGCTAGCTACTAGAGATGGGCGCATTGAATCCGGATATCCGCGCGGATGCGGATATCCGCTCACGATTTCAGCGGAAACACACATCCGCATCCGCCGGCAGATACCCGCCAGCGTTGGCGGGTATCCGCGCGGATACCCGCCCTCTGAATGGGCGGCAAGGCTCTTCCAGGAGTGTTTTTTTTTTTAAAAAAAAAAGAAAAAAAATTCAGCCCTCGGCCTAAAGGGGCAGAGGCCACACCGTCGGGAGGAACCCCTCCCGGCGAGCGTCTACAGGCCAGCTTGCCGGGAGGAATCCCTCCCGACGAGCTGGTTTAAAAACCACCTCGCCGGGAGGGATTCCTCCCGGCGGTGTGGCCCCTTGGCACCGGGTATCCCAAGGGATACCCGGATACCCGCCAGTATTTCAGGGGGAAGGGCGCATCCACACCCGAATCCGCACCCGCTGGCGGGTATCCGCCAGCGGATAGCGGATATCCGCGGCGGATTATCCGCGACCATCTCTACTAGCTACTGCCAGCTTCAAAACACCGCAAGCCAGTTGAGAATCTATTGAGTGGAACAAAATCAAATGCAGGTCCATTTTATTTGCAGTTTCCAATGTGTGCCACACCCATTGTGCACATTCACTGAAGACCCAATTGCAAAAAAAGGCAGCAAGCACAAAACCAACCAAGCATCTGACTTGGATCTGTGAAACAGAGAGAGTCAGTATCATGATAGAAGAATGGGGTGTAACTAGCCTTGCTCATGTTGACAAAGAAGGTGATGATCAATTATAAAATTCACTTATGTATGTTGGTCATCATTTTGAGTGTTGCTGATAGCTGACTTCATGTAACCATGAAGACATCTTGTTTTTTGAAGATTCAACTTGTCCCGACTCCTGCAGTGTCATTGTATGTGACAGTTTTTCATACATTTCAAGGCCAGACAAACCGTTTCAGGAAGACTGACCTACAGGGTTCTTGCAGTATTTTGTATCGGACACACCCCCAGGCTTCTTTGTGCATCTGGCAATGTACTTGACTCTAGGGGGATCTGTTTGAAGTATTTGCTGTCTTCAAGATCGGTGGACCAGGGTGAAGCATTGCGCCGTGAAGGACTTGTGTACTGTCCAAAAGTTGCCATCAGATAGACCACGAGCACATATATATACCACTGCCAACGGCCAATCTCTGGTCGTCCAAGCCTCCGACTCCCTCAACCTCCAAGATGATAAATCTCACCAAAGTTGTGTCTTGCTGCCTTGCTCTACACGCCTTGAATGCTATTACTCTAGCTCCTTTCCCAGGGTTGAGTAAGTCCACATTCAAAGATATGTTTCTTTTTTCCTCCTCATGGCACAGGGCACTGTCTGATCTATGTTGTCCATATCGCTTCGCGCCGTCTTTCGCTCATCTCCAAAGGAACGTTGGATGCCTTGGAACCTAGCAATGCCATCTTGATGGATGGCGCAACAGCAGCTAGGAAAGGTACATTGTCGTATAGATTTTTCGTCGCTTCTTCTCTATCCCCCCTCCCCCATCACACATTCCGCCAAAAACTGAAGATAACATAACTTGTAGCTCAGATCGAATCACTGAGAAAATCAAGCAAGCGAATTCAGCATCGGATCGAATTGCTCGACACACAATCCAAAACCGAGTTTGTGGAACTCCAGTCTCAATTGGAACAACTTTTGCATGCCCTCATACCACCCCTTTCTGCCAAGGTGGAGTCGTTGAGTGAACCGGCACCACCGATGAACCATCTTGACATGAATAGTGAGAGTATAGCGCAAGAAGGCAGCTTACTCGAGCCGACCGAAGCCCGAATTGAGAACGGTGAGCGGTTGATCACAACAGGAACCACAGATAGAAGATGGACGAACAACTGGCCGATTTTACAACGATTGAAGAGGGTATTACAGTCCAGTACGACTACCGGAGCACTCACACAAACAACGGATCGCAAGTCAAACGCTAGGAATATCAAAAAGGCTGAATTGATGTCCAAGCGCATCCTTCAAGCGGACGTAGCTTCGCGCAAACACTTCGCTGTCGACGAGCCTATTAAACCTGGCCACGGTGCACTGCCAGAAGTTAACCCCGCGATCGATGCTACGAAGGAAGAGAGCCCAAGTACTTCGCAAAAATCCCACAGAGATGTCTTACACATTTTTCTAAGTCACACAGCTTCAACGAAGATTGACCGATGGAATGCTCTACAACGAACACTAATTCGTTATCAAGCTGAAAACCATCTGGTTGAAGCGGACGCAAAGTTCCTGGTTGGATTTTTGAAAACTCTCTATCTTCTGGGTGACTTTGCTCATGAGTACCAATTAATGCCTGCGAATTTCCTCAAGAATATTGAGCTCTTCAAACCAACAACTCTCTTCAAAATGATTGAGTACCACATTGATCTCCTGTTCAGCAAGTGGCACCAGAAGTTTTTCGACATTCCCGGCTCTATGGCTCCTCACATAGACTTCTTATCGACTGGCGTGGGCGCCAAACACTTTAGCAGATTCATAGGAGGTAAGTTTCACTTTTTCATTTTCCAATTCACGATGTGCTTCACAATCCTTCCCCTCTCCGACGCCGAAACATCCGACCGAGTTCAATCCTCTTTTTCTTTGGGTGCCGCGTCCGGGGATCCTACCTTCGTTTCTTGCCGGATTTTGAATTCTACCTGCTAAAATGCTCTCTTAACATAGATCTTCCTGAAGAAAAGCGTGGGGATCTCGTCTACCTTGTTTTACGTACCATCCTGCGACATTTTGATCGCCCGAACTCGAATAAAAAATTTGACACGATTCGGGAAGAATTGATTCAAAGCGATTTTCTTGAGCAAATCCATACCCTTTCCTCGGCATTAAAGAAAGCAGAACCAGGGGAAGACGCCCTGCCTAACGTCCAAAATCATCGAATCGCTCGTGTGGTAGAATTGGCGATCGAACTTTTCGAAAACCCTTCGAGTGAGACTGGGAAGACAGAGAGACTGGAATTCCAATTGGTTTATTACTTTATCAATTTTCTTCAACAATACCACCAAGCACTCATCAAGATAATTGTGCATCAGGAACCCCGGTATAACCTCTTTCAAAAAAAGCTCATTTTCATGGGGAGTTACCTCAACTTTTATCGCAATAATTTTGAAAATTATATGCATTTTCTACAACCCGGACGCGATCTCACTTTTAACCAAATTGTTCAAGATAGTAGACGCGATAATCGTGGCTTGCATAATTGGATTGTCAAAGTCATGCACGAAGTAATCCAGCACAACTCGGACCGTGACTTCATCTTCCTAGTCACACCAAACATGGATCTTTGGATGGGCCAAGTATGCTGGAGATGTGATCGCCCTCCGTGGCAATGTCCCGCGTCTTGCCATCGGCCCGACTACATAAAAGAGGAGGGTGATTGGTTACTTTTCAATTGATCCCAGCTTGATTTATAGCAAGATATGATCTAATAAAAGTGTAGGTACAATTTGATTGCTTGTATTACCTGCCTGCTATGCCCCCCATCCAAATTATCTTTTCAGCAATTAACCTCAATCTTTCATCAAGAATAGCATTTAATCCAGGCACATTTTTGTTGTTCAACTTATATTTACCATCTGAGAAAAGTTGAAATGTGTAAGTTAATTAAAGTTTAAATTACAATAGATCATGTCCTGGTTGTTTGAGCTGGAATAAAGTGTGTTTGAAGAGATAACATCAACCATCTTTCAATTGAATTGGTGTGTTTTGAATCTGAGGTGTGTGGTAACCTGTGTAAATGAATACATAGCGCATACCTACAAGTAATGTGCAATAACAAAATCAAGTTTTTAGCTATTCATCTGAAACTGAAGTTTATCAAGATAATGATGACTTCGACACCCAACATGAACCTTTGGATAGGGCAAGCATGCTGGAAATGCAGTCAAATTTCCGACATGTCCTGCCATTGTCCTAAAGGGCTAGAAGAATATGTGGATTGGTTACTTGTTGATGATTAATCTCTTTGGAGAGATTGTTTTACCAACTGAAATCTTGGGTTGAGAGTTTTTAGACATTCTTTTCTGATAATCTCAAAAAAAGGCTCTCTAATTCAAAAACATGGTGATTTGCTCTTGGCAGAACTGATGTTAGCTTTTAAAAACAAAGTGCAAAGGTGAAAAGTAGGGTATTAATAAATGTACCCCCCATTTCTGCTATCCATACCTGGTTTTTCACACCCCCCTTTCGGCTTTTACACCCGGTCTTTCCCAGCCGCTGTAAATTGTTTTTTGGAAATTCTAAATATGCTAAAAATCTTCTAAAATTGAACATTCTTTTTGGGTATATAAAAAAACCTCAAAAGAGAAATTTCAATTTTAATTGATTTCATTCATCAAGCTTTTTTTCTGCCTATGAGTTTTTGAAAATCCAGAGTACATTTAAATTTATCATTGATATTGCCCAATCTTTGGTAAATCTATAAAGAACCAAATTTGATTTCATTTTGGAAATCCCAATGTTGTTGGTTTTGAGTTATAAGCAAATGGAAAAAATAAGGAATATCTTGAATGGTAACATCTATGTGAAGAAGAAAAATTAAAAAATTCACAATTAATAATAAGTTTTAGCTATAATGCAAGTTTTCAAAATCTCATGGGGAGACAAAAAATTGGGAAAAAATGGGCGACAAAAAAAAAAAAAATGAAATGCTCTTTTGGGAATTGTTAACATGCCCAAAAAGAATGCCGGATTTTAGATGATTTCTAGCATATTTGGAATCCCCAAAAAATGAATTAAAAAGGCTGGGAAAAACCGGGTTTGGATAGCAGAGAAGGGGGTACATTTATTAATCCCCATTTGGAATCCCCAAAAAACAAATCAAAAAGGCTGGGAAAAAATGGGTTTGAAAGCAGAAAAGCGGGTTTGAAAAACCGGGTGTGGATAGCAGAAAAGGGGGGTACGTTTATTAATCCCCAAAAAGTATTGCCCGTGTAAATGAATACATAGCAGATACGTACAAGTAATGTGCAATAATAAAATGAAGTCTTTAGCTATTCATCTGCAACTGAAGTTTTTCAAGATAATGGTGTGATCTTAACACTTACTTTTCTCTTGATAATCTCCAGCACATTCTGTAGAGCATCCACATTGGTTGAGTGGATTAGTGAGTCTGGGGATTAGCGGGGTATAAATTTAATACCCATTAGCTCCAAAACTGACCCTTAGATTAGGCAGCTAATCCTGCCTAATCTGCACACCAATGCGGATGCTCTTGGACTCATCATCAGCACAACATCCTAACATTTTTCCTTGATAGAAAATTGTGAAAGACACCTCATTGATGTTTTTCAACTCATTTATATCATTTTTACATTGCATTTTTTTTGTTTACATTTTCACAAAAGCAGCAGAAGTTTTGTTTTATATACTATCATCTACTACATTCTGACAAGTCTTTTTCACTTCAATAGTTTTTGAAACAATCAATTCTTCCAAATCCAAAATGTAGATTAGGTGTCAACTGCTCCTCTATCATTTTGCTGATCCCATAATTACTTAAAATACTTTTTGGCAGAACAAACTTCCCATTTCTTCATGTCATATTGATTTCAGTGCTTGGTTTTGTCTTCAAGATTATTGATTGCCTATTCCTTCGCAAAGTTCCACGAATTCACATCTTTATGTTGGGAGAGTTACAATGTTCTGAACATTGTTAATGAAATAAGAATCTCCATGTCTCTATATTTTCTTTTTCTTTGCCTCTTTCTCTCTCTTTTCGTTGAACGGATTAGACACAAAGTAGTCTGAGCGGGTACATTGTATTCAATTTCCTCAACAATCAATTTGAGAACATATGCAGTCCAATCAGTTGTCCCTCTATCAAGATCCCAAGAAGCTGTTGTCCTGCTACTAGAACCTGTCATCATTAGCATCGATCGTAAGCTCACACGAAAGCCTGGAGTTCTTCTACAGTACAGCCGGTGGCATTTTACGCATAGCCTACACGGACAAGAAGATTAATTGGCCGCAAAGTCAGTGATTGTCAAGACTTGAGTTCCATGACTGACAAAGAACGATGAGTTTGGAAAAACTAATGACAAAGTATCAATGAGCTTACTTGACGAACACCGAGATCAAACATGATTTCTATGATCCAAAGAACCAAAGAACAATTGTTGGGTCAACAGATTGATTTTCAAGGAGACCCAAAAGACAAAACGTAAGCAAGCTGACCTTCTGATCCTCCAAGAACAGAGCCAAACTTATAGGTCCGTTGGAAGGCTTCAACAAACCGACCCATTCCGGTAGCTGTGATCCCACGTCCACCAAAAATCCTTTTTTTTTGAGAACAGCAGAGGCAAGCAAAAACCAAAGACAAAGAAATAGCCTGATTAATTTAACTGTTCTTTTGGGAGAAGAGATACAAAGAGTGTGGTAGGAGGGGAAGTGCTGACTGGACTGCGTCATCGGCTATCTCATGAGCAACTCGGGTCGCATAAGCTTTCAGAAGGCCGATCGGACCGGCCAGCAAATCCGCCTGTTGGCCATACGTCATCTTGGTAAGAAACAAAAAAAAAAGAAAACCTATTAGAGAACCTTTGATCTAGATTTCAGAAAAATAAAAATAAACAAAAGTGTGAAGTCCAGACGGACTTGGTTCATTTGGAAGGTCACACTCTCTAGCCATGATTGAGTGGCCTCGCACTTGGCAAACATCTGGGCGAGCTTTTGTCTACGTTAAACACACAGATAAAAGGAAGATTCAGACAAAAAGTTCTCGTATTTGGTTTTCCAAAACGTGATTAAATTGCGAGCTGACCTGATAACCGGTTGAGAAATCAACGGTTTCCCAAAGACGGAGCGTTGATAAGTCCACTTGAAGCAAAAACAAAAGTGCAGATTTAGCTCTCAAAAGAAAACTGTAAATGGGCTGCTTGAAGGATAGTTACTTTGAAGCACTCTTCGGTGATAAATCGAATCGTGCGGATGATAACGCAACACATCATCCACCGTTCATGCTACGAGGAGGTCAGAAAAGGATTCTAATAAGACTCAAGACTATTCAAAAGAAGTGGGGGGAGATAGGACCGACATTGAAATTGGACAAGATGACTGGAAGGCCCTTGTTTTCCTGGCCGAGGAGGTTAGCCACGGGCACCTTAACGTTATCGAAGGTGATGAAAGCCGTTCCAGCGGCGGAAGAGTAGCTAGTCTTGATGGGTTTAGTCTCTACGCCGTCGCCTCTTTCGATGAACAGGACGCTCAGACCGTTGTCAGTCCGGACGCCGACGGAGAAGTAATCGGCAAAGGCGCCATTGGTGATCCATTTCTTGGTCCCATTGACGATGTAATGTTGGCCATCGGTCGTCTTGGTTGCCGTGCATCGTAAGCCGGCCACATCCGAGCCCGCAAACGCTTCGCTGATCGCTAGAGCAATGTACTTCTTCCCCGATAAGACCTCCGGAATGATCTTTTTCTTTAGCTCTGGCGAGCCAAAGTTTAATACCGGTGGTAATCCAATCACCATCCCGGCTAGTAAACCATCTAGGTATCCAGGAGTCCCCATGCGAGATAGTTCTTGAATTATAATCAATTCGTGCTGAAAGGAAAACAGTGCAGTGATCAACAAATCCGGACCAAACTTTCATACACCAATCGAATGTGAAGACGAAAGAAAAAAAAAAGGGGGCTTACAAAGTAGTCAAAATTTTCACCCTTCAGACCGGCGGGTAGGGTGAGACCATGAAGATGTTTGCCCGGTCCCAGTCTCATAGCATTGAGGTGTTCCTTGGCCATGAGGTCGACCAATTCTTGAGTGGGCCGTTTGCCGGTCTGTTCATGTTCCCTTGCTTCGGGAGCGATATGGGTCTCGACGATCAGTCGGATGGCCTTCTGGAACGCCCGATGGCCTTCGTTGTAGTAGGGCGACGAATATCCTTTCGATAGCCAGCTTGGTTCGGCATGCGGGACGAGCGATAGCTCGCCATCCTTCGGAAGCATCACTTGGCATTTCTCGTCCTCGATTCGTCCGATCAGGTATCTGTGATGATCATCATGGAAATCAGGACAGTGTCGATTAGAAGTCCACTTGGATCCATTGAATTTCAAAAACACTAAAAAAATGTGGGTAGTGAGTGCTTACCGGGCGTATTTCTTCAGGACCTCGGAACGATGTAAGCCGAAGAAAGCCTTAGTGGCATCCTTCCCGGCGATGTTTTTGTCGAGAAGGACGAAGGCGCCTCCGGGATGCAAGTCGACGAATTTCGAGAGATCATAGACGGCGGTATCGATGATGCACCAAAGGTCGCCCTGCTTATCATGTTTGGCCACCTCTTCCCTCGTCAGAGATTTCAGCCGTTTTCCGCTCGGGATGGTATCGTAGACCGTCGAGAATGTAGCTGCTTGATTAACGGCCATCGCGTTCCGCTCGAATCTGGTATCCTTATCAAGCTCTCAAAAATCGATTTTTTCCACCCACTTCTTGTTGTTCTTGGTTGTCTTGAGGTATCGTAGGGTATCGTTCTTTCTTTGGGAAGAGAAAGCGTGAGGTACGGCAGAAATGCATGTACGTAGTCTACGAGTGATCGAGTCGTCGATGAGAGTGAACGAGGATTGTACATATCCGCATGGGACTTTGAAACACATGGAGCGGTGGAGGATAGCCCGGCGGAATGACCGGCCACTTCGCCGGGCCCACTTCAGTCGCACAAGCCACGATCGGTGTTGACCATCTCGCTGATCGGAGAATCTCATAATGACGATTGGCGAGAAGGAATGGCCAAGCCTGAGAGGCTGTGTCTCTTCCTTTCTCTCAAAAACAGTAGTCTTATTATACATGGGATCGGTGAGGTGGCTCGACTATGAGGCCAGGTTTGAAGAGAGTCTCTTGACATCAATGATGGTCCTTGCCGAGTACGGCTCGTCATCCTCCCTCACTACCTCTCTTTCCTGAGAATGAACTATCTTAGGTCGGCTCAGCATGGGAATATCGGTCAATGAACTTAATCGTTTCCTCATAAAGCTGTATATTTGTGTGTCTATATAAAGTAGGTTACCGATCGACCTCTTACACCACAGTCAGTTTATGCTCTGCAAGCTCACTGGATCGGCTTGGCCCACCTTATCTAAGCTGGAATGTACACTCTGTCTCTTTCTACTTCTGGTCAGATAGAACAATGTATGTGAGAGGATCTGGGATGGTTCGGACGAACAACCACGTCGGCAACTAGAGTCCGATCCTTGTACGGCGCACTTGCGAAGGATTTTTCTTGGGTGCACTTCGGAGGGACTTAGATTATGTGAAAGAAACCATATACAAAGATGTTGTATATAAGGAGGAAAAGGATGGCCTCTATGGAGTTCAGACCAGCCGGGTAGCACTAGGGCCAGGGGATCCAGAGGGAGCGCTCCCGGAGGCCAGCTGGCTGGACCGCAGAGGGCCGATGGCCACGCTGTCGTTGTCCGTGCCCGTCAACAGGACCGGTCGGGCTTGGGTGCCTTCGTTTATAAGGTCAACGATCACACCATCGTCTCGGATCAACTTCCATCGAACTAATCGTAACACATCCCCACATCAGGTCGACCGTATCTACTGCAACATTTCTCTGCTTTCGTCTTGTTTTCTTGGGGGAAAAAATGGGGGGTTTCTAGTCACTCAACTGATCTCGAACTCCGATCCCCTCTCTCGCCGGACCGACGTGAAGTATACCTTTCCCGAGCCTGTTTTTCATTTGGTGAACAGGATTTCAAGTCATTAATATGCCTGATTAGAGGTACCACAGGCAAGGCTCCCTAATTATAAGACGGGACGTAAGATGCTTACGTTCAGAGCCGGTGACTCGGAAAGCGACATCGACGGAGCCTTGCATGAGATTGATCTAAGGACAACACGACCGGAAGGGATGGGAAGAGAACGAATGAGCAGAAGCAAACGAAGAAGAGATGACGATAAGCTGTTGTGATTTTTTTGGCTTTGGTTGGAAGATGAAGATCACGAACCTGGCCATCGACCCATAGCTGACCGAACATGTCGTCCTTCTCGGGCTTGATAGACTGTCCGAGGGCAGCAAGGACGCTGGGATTACTCCTGAGCTCGAACAGGACCGCCTTGACGATCGATGAGTTGGCCTTCTCGGCATTCGTCGAGAAGTATATGAACCCGGCCCATACTGACGCGATCACGAGGAAACTGCCAACATAGAGTGGCGTCCGACTCTTTGTTCATCATCCACAGCTAAATTAGTTCGAGAGTTGTAAGGCGATACTCAAAAAGGAAGAACCAGTTGGATAGACGTACTGGTAATTCTGGTAACTCTCGATGGGACTCCGGGACGGTCCTAGACTTCTCGGATCGAGAGACCGACTCCGGGGAGGAAATGGATGAGATGATCTGGGTTGGATTTTTGACCGAGCCAGAGGGGTAGGCGGTCGAGGAGGTATTGATGAGCCGATGGAGAAGAGAAGTCCGAGCAGTTCTTATCGGGATCCTGTTGGCCAGCCTCGGAAGTGTTCGCGGTCGGTAGAGTAGTCCTCCGATCGGCCCACCATTCGTCGTCGTCGTTGTTGTCGTTAATGTTAGCTTCATGGCCTTGCCCTCTCTTTCTAGGGAATCCTCCCCGGATCCACTGATCACCCGTTTTCCTTCAGCTCAAACCTTGCCGGCGCAGGGGAAAATTTCCAAAAACAAAAACAGGGGGTTTTCACTTCACTCTAGCTCATCAACATCAAGTGTTTCTAGTCAAATTGCTTCCATCCTAACCTGAATATAAAGATCAACCTAATACAGGGGATCACAGCAAAGTGCACACTTTTTTCTATCAAGTCATCCCCGGCAGTTAATTATGTGCCAGACAAGCCAGTCCAACAACTGCTTGGACCAAATTTGGGCAAACCGTTCCACAACTTATAACCTCAACCTGCAATCCACTGAAATTGTTGGAAATAGTCAGTCCACAAGCACTTTCCTGGGATTTACTAAAATTGTACCTTGGAAATTCCAGTGGTGAACCCCACTGACAGCATTAATTCACAACACTGTCCAATGGACAACTTCCCTTCAGTATTTGTGGGTCTCCCAGAAGCAATTTAGAGCCTTGAAAGCTAGATTTCCCACAAAAAATCTACACTTTTTGGGTCTAAATCAACATCCGTTGTAGTGTGCCAATTGTGTTTCAAGTATCAAATTGCAAAGTCACAGTCCAATATGTATAAGGGCATATATTCTTAGGCGTATTATGGCATAATCACATTCTACAGGTCATTTAACCCATAGTCACTCACTGGAACCACTAGGCTAGCTCCACTGAGTCAAAAGTTATTTGGGATTTAAATTTTATTTGCATAAAAAATTCTTAATGCATAATTTAAACCACAAGTTGGCCTTAGTTTGTTTACATATTCAATATTCATTGCATAGGGTAACCACAAGTTAGCCACATTGTTTGTAGGTACACTGAGAATCTTGTATAGGGCTAGAGCCAGCGGTGGGCCGCTACGCTTTTGGCCCAAAAAGCGTAGCGTAGCGGCGCTTTTTTTTCCTCAAAAAATTGTAGTGTTAGCTTGTTTTTAGTGGTTTTTTGCTACGCTACACTGCGCTACAGCGCTTTTAGCGGAAAAAGCGGCCAAAAACCGCTAAAAAGCGCTGTAGCACAGCGTAGTGGGCCCTTTTTTGTGGCCCACACGCGTAGCGTTAGCGGTGTTGTGGCAGAATTCCGCTATGCTATGCTTAGCGCTAACAGGAATACCGCTGTGTTACGCTACACTAACCGCTACGGTTAGTGTAGCGGCCCACTGTTGCTAGAACCACAAGTTGGCCATTTATAGATTATAGGTTAGGGCTAGAACCACAAGTTGGCCATTTATAGATTATTGGTTAGGGCTAGAACCACAAGTCAGCCGGGTTGTAAAATAGACTATTTAAGGAGGGGCTTTCCCCCCTCATTCCAATTTTTCATCATCTCATCACAACAGATCATCATCTCATCTGATAATCAACCAGACAGAACAGAGCAATCAATCCATACATTAACCAGTGTGATCTTAATCAAGTGCCCCATTGAGATCATTCAGCCATTGAGAAGCATAGGAAAAAGAAAGTAGCAACCAGTACAACTTGTGATCTTAAACAAGAGACAGTGATCTTAAATCATTTTGCTCTTGATCTTAAACAAGAGACAGTGATCTTAAACCATTGTGCTCTTGACTAAGATTCAAGGAGGAAGGGAAAGACACTTTCAATAGTCACATTTTTCCACAATATCATCTCATAAATTCACATTCATCATCAGTACATACGTCAATCATTTTTCAAAATACATAAACATATAAACAGAAAAACACCTCTTACTCAACATTTCCACTCAAATAGTCTGCTGAATCCACATTGATCTAGGTTTGATAAGAGACTGCTACACATAGTTTTCTCTATCATCAGTTTTTGCCACAACAATAAATAAATTGTTGTGTTAACTCTTGTGTAGTACAATAGAGGGGCAGGTCTTTCAAACCAGCCGTAACAGTTGTAGTGGATCATTACATACGTGATATATCTCATCTGCTATTTCCCCCTCACAGGACTGCCACCATTCCCAAAAAGGAGTTCTCACACCGTAAGGGTTCCAGATTTGATGGGAAGTCAGTCCAATATTCTTACATAAATGTTTTTGTTAGCCACTTTTCACCGACCTTGGTAGCACACCAATCAGCAAGTTA